GAGATTTTATAGAGTTTTGAGGGGTACAGGGAGAGAGGAGAAAATAATAATAATAATAATAATAATGATTTTGTTTAATTCCATTTGTTACAATGGATATTCTTTGCTGTAACATGATGTCTCTTTATCTACTTTCTAAATTATCCCCCATGTGCAAGGAATGACTTTAGTTACCATCCCCTGCCAGTGGGCCATGTTAAATGTAGTTCAGCAAGATTCCTAGAAGAGAATGCTACAACAACACCATACAGCAAGGAGGGGGGGGTGTGAGCGGACACATGTATTTGTGTAAGCATATACATATAAATACTGTATATTTATAATAATCCAAATATATTTATATATATTATATATATATATATATATATATATATATATATTTATATATAACAATATATGGTATAGATATATATTACAAATATATATAATATATATATATATAAATTATATATTTTGGATTTTATGTATAAAATCTACAGGGGATTTATATGATATATGCTTTACACAATTACATGTGTTCCCTCACACCCCCCCCCTCCTTGCTGTTTGGTGCTTGTTTGTAGCATTCTGCTTTCTAGGAATTTGCTGAACTACATTTAACAATGGCCCACTGCAGGGGATGGTCAACTAAAAGTCATTTCCTTGCACAATGGGGGAGATAATTTAGAAAGTAGATAACAGAGACATCATTGTTAACAGCAAGTGATCCGTCCACATGTAACAAATAGGAATAGAACAAAATGGCAATTAAGTATTCCATTATTACCTTATTTTATTCTTCCTTCCTGAATCCCTGTACCCCTCAGGAAACTCCTATAAATCTCAGTCTTATAATTTAAAATGGAAAGGTAGCAGGTAGTCGAGAGCAAATGAAATGCCGTGATTTCAGCAGGGGCATCGCACACGAATTTCACGGCAGAGTCTGAGTTTAGCGTGGGGGACCTTACCATGTCCTGCGCCTTTCCATGCTCTTCATTGTTTATGAAGAGCGGGACTTACACAAAACCAGCAGAAATGCACAGGGCTGTGTGTGGACGGACCCGCCAACAAGTGACCAGACCACTACGCATTACCCCCTGAGTCCGTCCACTCACAACCCCGAAGTGGGCGGGGTGCTAGAGTACTAGCTCAGTGAGTGTTTGGTGATGCGCCTTCGTTATTTTGCAAAAAATGTAGGGAGAAGGTATAATCATGAATGATCATGGCTCACAGTGGATGTAATACGGCTCTTTTTATTATCATGAAAACAAATTTTCATGGAATGGTCCCCTTAGGCATTTTTTTTTTTTTTTCGAGTTGCAGTATAGTTTTTGAGGCTAGAATTCAGCATCTCTGTTATCTTGGTGTTGTGCGTGCGTGCGTTGCCGTGCGTGCGTTGTGTGCGTGTGTTTGCGCTGTGTGCTGTAGTGCGTGTGCTGTGTGTGTGGTCTGTGTGTGTGTGTGTCCGGTGGCCCCTTGTGTGTGTTGCTGTGTGTTTACAATTCTGTACTGTAGATTTTTATGGGATATTCGTTATTTTTAAATAAAAGTTTTGTAAGTATGATGATAACGATAATTTTTTACAATGCAAACCAGTTTTCTTGGTGCGCGGGTGGCGGGATTTGAATTTCACTATTTCAAGGTATGATTAAACCAAACTCCCATGGCTTCTAGGTGCATTCATAGTGCCCCTCCCCCCTTTGTACATCGGAACACCCTTTGTCTATTTTGGTTTGCTCAAATTGGAAAAACACACAAATTAACACACATTATGTATATTACAAGTAAAACCTAATTTAGTAAACTGATTTTTTTAACTTGTTAAAAAAAATCTTTATTAACTTGTCCTAGTGCCATCCTGTTGACCCCACCACCCCTTTGGAGCACAACTCCCCCAGTTCTTTGCCAGCACTTTTGGGGGCCATAATATATTTTATTCAATTACCATTAATTCCATAAGTTTCCCATTTTTTAAAAATTATTGTTGAAAAACATTGTATTCTTTTTATACCTTTCTTAGAGCTATATTACTTTCAAAACTATAAACTAGTATTCAATTCATGGCAAAATTATTAACTAAAGACCACTAAGTCAGTATTTGAACAGTTCACCAGTTGACAGCAATATATATATATTTTTTTTCTTTCTTTCTTTCTTTTCTTTTCTTTTAGGGGGGGGATGTCATGGTGCAAAATCAGGAGGGTTGTTTAACTTTGGATATTGCGCACAGTTTCCCCCCAATATACCTCTTGAAATGTTATTAAAGTATTATGCCTATACTACAAGAATATCTAAGTCCATTAACATTAACCTCTAAAGCTAAGCAAATCATAAATACATATGCAATTTGATTGAGGTGAAAAAAAAGTCCAGCTACTCTTGCCTTTTAAATTTAATGTTGATTTGATATTTTGAAAAGTGGAGGGGACAGATGGGCAGCGGTTGAGGGAGGAATGGGGTGTGGGGTAGTCTGTCTTCAAATCACACAGATTTTTAAAAGGTTATCAAACCAATTCAGTATCAATTATCTCATTGGGTTTTAACACCCATATCTCAACCAGGAACCAATTTTTCTTGTCGACAGTGGTAAGGTATATATTTTCATTTGTTTTACGAAACTTATTAAAACATTTTCATTTTGTTTAGTAAATTCTTCAGTATTGCCTTGTTTATCTTTGGAATCATTATATCATGTACACACTTGGTTACATAAGTATGTATGTGTCATGATATTTTGTTTTTGTCACACATTTTACAAGCCAAAAGTATATTTAGAATTAGAATTTCAGCTAAGAGTGTTTATGAAGGTATACAGATTTTGGATTTTGGTCACATTAAAAAAAGGTTAGAACCACTAGGCAAAGTGCTCCCCCCTTCCTAAAGTCGTGAAATAACAGAAATGCATATCTCAAAAAGAGAAAAAGAAAAATGAAATTGCTGTATCTCCTTTACTTATATTTGATTTTGTCTTACAGGTTGAAGTGTCACAACATTCTTAGAAAGCTCAAAATTTTTGTGAAATGGACTTTCACCTGAAGAGGTATGTATTTCTTTATTTGGGAGTAACCATAAAGTGTATGTATGCCGTCTTACAAATGGCAGAAATGTGACATTCAGAAAATTATTCTTTAAGTAAGTTCAGACAGTAGATTTGGAAACTTTTCTGCATGAGAAATTTGCAACCTTTATTAGAAACCATTGGCAGTCGGGTCACTGTGAGACTGAATGCTAATTAGCATGAGAAATGTATGAGAAATTGTGATAATACTAATTGTTTTTCTCTCTCTCTCTTCAGTGATGGAAGTCTCCATGTACGTTACAGGAGCCAAAGTCCAAAGTTAATCAATCTTATTATTTATTGAAGCAGATCGGAGAGTTGAGACAGGTAGTACCTAGATACATTATCCCTATGTGAAAATTTTCAAGCAATCTCTAATAAATAGCCTACTTATTGGCCAAAATTGTTTTATTGGTTTAAGTAAGGTAAGGACCTTTTTTTATAAAGTACAAAGTTAGTCTCCCATAATATGTGCTAGGTACACACAGTTGTATCAGTTGGTATGAGAATATTAATCTTATTGTCATACATTCTGTATGATAGTGGCTGATGTCCTGTCTTTCCTGTGAAACAAAAATCCATGTTTAAACTACCAAGAATTAGTGAATTGCTTATCAGCAATATAATAATGCAGTAACAGTATTGCTAAAACGCTTTGAGAATAGATGAGGAGACACAAAAAGATCATCTAGCTTCTAGATAATGGTTGATTTTTGATAAAAGGAATTCATTGCACATAGGTGCCTTAATATGCTGTGAAAAACAGTATGTTATTATTAATGTTGTGAAAGATCACTTATTGTTGCACAGACTTACAAGGAAAGGTTGAAATTGACCAAGTGAACTGTGCCTTCATTGTATCATAAAGGTTCCTCCAATCTTTCAGGAACAAGTGACACAGATTGATATCTTTGATTAATGATGGACCCCCGTTTGTGATTGTTTAAGATATTTAGACAGTATGTAGGCAAAGTTTGATTTTTTTCTCATGTAAATGGACTTCGCCTCAGCCACCTCCTCTCTTGAAAGGGTTAATGTTGTAAAAAGCTACAAGAATGTATTCTCTAAGTTCTTGTAAAGTGCAGTGGGAAACATATATGTAACATTTTTCTCTTGCCTCAGGAAGAGACTCTCAGCACCCTTAATAATACACAAGATTTAGATGAAGGGTAGTTTCATGTGATTCCTCCTCTACTTTTATTTATGATGCACCATATGGAAATTGAATTAATATAGTATTGTTTTAGATTGAAAGATCTCAAAAATAGTGAAAACATCACTTTCAACAACTGCTGTCTAGTAATACATAGCACGTGATTTGGTTGTTTATGAACTATCAGAAGTGCTTTAGAAGGCAATTCCCTTAGTAGTTTTGTGGACTGCTTATGATTGGCATTTAACATGGCTTCATATTTTTTAATATTTTTTTAGGTGGGTAAGTGAAATACTAATTGAAAATTTAGTGCATCTGTAACCTTGTCCCCAAGCTTGAATGAAAAATCTAGCAATTATTGACTGGAGATTCCAATACCTATATTTTAGCTAATAACACATAGCCTAAACAACCCACCAGTGTGTTGATGTGGCATCATTATCATAGCATATAAAATTCTTGTGCTGTTAGCATCTGTGGAATACAATATTTTCCTTGAATATTTAACATAAGTAAGTTAATGTGGAAGAGAAAAAAGTGCCATTGTATAAGGTATATAATCAGAGAACACAAATAAAGAACATTTGTTCCCAGATACAATAAAATCCTCT